TATTTAAGGACGTAATTTTGACTGTTTAGATAAGTGGGCTTGAGCAGGACACGTGGCGAGGAGGGACGGTGGACAGCAGACGAGAATAACTACTCAGTGTCACCTCCAGAATCGATTACTGCAACAGCATCCTATACGGCACCTCAACCAACACATTAAATATACTCCAGTACATCCAGAACTCTGCTGCTCGTCTGCTCACTCACACCCGAACCGGTGACCACATTACCCCTGTCCTCCAGAACCTCCATTGGCTCCCGGTCCCACAACAAATTCAATTCAAAATCCTCCTTTCTCACACATAAAGCCCTACCTCACTGACCTGCTCCACCGCCACAACCCATCCCGTAGCCTTCGCTCATCTGACGCCAACCTCCTGACTCCACCTCTCAGGACCAAGCATCGAACCTGGGGCGACAGAGCCTTCTCTATAGCTGCCCCCTCACTTTGGAACTCTCTCCCAAAACAAATCCGTTGCTGCACCGACCTTCCAGCGTTCAAATCATTGACTAAAACTCCCCTTTTTAAAATTGCTTTTAATGTTTAGCTAAGTTTGATGTGTTTTTAGTATTTTACCCTTTGATGTTGTTTTTGCTGCTTTTATGATTTTATGTAAAGTGTCTTTGAGTATTCAGAAAAGCGCTCACAAATAAAATGTATTATTATTATTGTCCACTGTGGAGAATGAACGATGAAATTGATTAGCATGGAGGTTTTGGGTGATAACTTGCATCGCAAGACCATGAAGAAGGATGGCAACTTGGAGAGGCCGTCATCCAGCAGTGGATCGATCATGGTGGGTTAACAAGATAACAACTGTTGACTTCTCACAAAGTGGTACTCAATATGAGGGTGAGTTAAGTAATAACTAAGTACCGTATTACATTTGTATTAAATCAGTACATTTTTATATACCACATGTACATTTAAATAGATAAGGTAATTTCACAAAATAAATATTACATACAATTGATAACAGGCAATCGAGTTAAATACCAGCTATCTTGATTTGAAGCTTTCGTGACTGCAGGAATCCATACTTTGGTTCACTTATAATAATCACTTATATATATTTTATATATCAAAAGTAATATATCACTTATGATATATTTTTTATTTTATTTTTCTACCTAAGTGACTTTACCGAAAGATACCGAGCTGTAATACGGACTGGTGGAAGGTAAAGAAAAAAAGCAAACGCCCTAATATGCTGAGATGACCCCACGAATCCCGTACAGGGCCTCTTGCCTTTAGGCTATGGTTTACTGATGAGTGCTAAGAGTGTAAACTGCCACAGTTTTGCTGTGTTACAAATATGCTCATGGATTTTTTTGAAAAAAACTATTAAACTTGCCCTTTTACCCTCTGGACGAAAAGGTTCATTTGATTTTATTGTTTTCCTTCAGCAAATACTGTTTATATTTTTGCCCAATAGTTACTTATTTGGTTCAATGAATCATCGGCTATGTACACATCACAAGAAACACTGCAACATATCTCAGCACCCACTTATAAAAAGTCCTGGCTATACCAGAAGCATGTGGCACCACACCTGGCAAAATTATGTTATCTGTGACCACCACCACCAACCCACGGTATGTTCCAATTTAATTCACACAATTCTTTGCCACGCATTACTATGTATAGTATGCACGGTCTCAAAACGGTTACAAAGCATGTTAAACGTGATATTCCTTTGTATCTGTTGCATCCTTGCGTTTAAAATGGACGTATACTAATTACCCTAAATGATGATGTATATAAACGAATGGTTATTTCCAGTATTGACAATGTGATGCTCTTCAGCATGTTGTTGTAGCAGTTTACATTATTGATAAGGGCATTGTTACAAGAAATGGTATTGCTACTTGGGAAACCCAGGAGAGCATTATATTACACGCGGTGACATTGCGCGAAGGGGAGATTACATTACCGCAGCCTTTTGAATGGATTGAAAGTGATGTCCGGCAGAACACGGTGAAAATTCAGATATGCTTGTATGTGTGTGAGTATGTGTTTTTCTGTAAGTGGGATTTTGTTACTATGCATAGAATGTTTTGTGTTGGCTGAGTGACGTGACACACGAAACAGTGTGCTTTGACAGTGCAAGTCAATCAATGTGTGTTCATGTAATCTCTGGTGCTTCTGTGAACAACCAATATGCTGATATTTTAAATATACACCTCATGGAGGAAAACAACAGTTACCCTGAAAAAATGATAATATACTTAACGAATTGATAACATTATTCTCAACGACAACCACATATGCCATGTTTCACGAGTGAGCTGAACACACAATACGTTATTTTTAATGAACTCTGAACATTTTAGAAATGACGCATCTCATATATATAGAGTATTTAAAAAATATCGGCCAGAATATAGAAGTATCCAGAATAAATCTTGACTTAAATCTGGACTTAAAGCTTTCGTGACTGCAGGAATTCATACTCTTTGGGTTTTTCGGTAAAGTCACGTAGATAGAAAAAAAATCACGACGTTTAGATCGCAACACAAGCAATCGTCTTCAGGTGAAAAAATACAGCAGGCGAAATGCTGAGGCAGGAGAAACATAGCGAGAGAACTACTCCAGCAAGTGGTTATATAGGTTTGAGATGGGTATAACCCAAGGGTAAGTGGGCGGGGCAAGAGATGGAATTTCCAAGGAATATACCTCGGCCATTGTATTGCTAGAGATTAGCATGTCAATCTGTTAATGTAACCCCACGATTACGGTGCTGAAGAAGCCATTGTATTGCTAGAGATTAGATATCCAGAATAAGCAACCTTCATCCAAAGTTGCATGGGGATTTGTTTTACGAATGTTGACTAAATTTGGAGACAGCATGCATGACTGCGTTAGTTCACCTTTGTATTTATGAGATAATACTACAATGTACGTGTAAGCTGTAAAGATAAAAACAACATTTTCTGAGCAATTTGGAGAACTCTATTATCGTGCTACAAGCGAGTCACTCAGCCATTTTTCGCAAGGCATTGCTACAACTTGAATCACGCTCAACGTTCGTATCAAATTTTTGTGCGTTGCAGACAGAACTCCATAGAGTTGATCTGGTTGACCTGGTCAGCATTGTGCTGGAAGCAACTTCCACCTTCACGACCACTGCCGATGTACTTGTCATCTAATGGAGATGCCAGCAAAGAAACTGCTATCTGCTTCCCATTGAAGATGCTCAGATGACCAAAAGGATTGGTTAAAAATAATCTCCATGTCTGAATGCAACTTTAAAGCTTATTTCAAACCCACACCACTTTAATGAACGGCATTTTGTAGATTAAGTTTATTAATAGACGAAAAATTGTAATCAATTACTTTTTGCGGTCCATTGCTCTGGCCCCGTTATAAATGGCAGGCTGTCCATAATCTCTGCGCCCCCCGAACGTGGGAACCCTCCTTCCCTAAAGTGCGTGACTGATGTGGACGTCACCAAATCTTGCCGGTCACCTCCCGTCTAGCGGCAAAACACGTGAACAGAGATGAACCTTTTTCCCTAATTATATTTTTAAATGTCATCCGATTTGTTGAATCATCGAACCGATAATCGGTAGAGAAATAACACCAACACGTCACCATTCCTCTTAGCAGCGTTCATTGAAGCGCTGTCGTCCCGACAGTTCTGTTCCGTCACCTGAAGAAGGGTGCTTGTGTTGTGGCCGAAACGTCGTGAGAATTGTATTGTCTTATTTTGTTTTATTGTTTTATTCTCATTCTACGTGACTTTACCGAAAGAACCAAGAAGATAAATCCTTGCAGTCACGAAAGCTTTAGATGAAAAAAAAATCCATGTGGAGAGTTGGGGCATGCTTGGAATTACACTGCGAATCAAAAAGAGGCACATCTGGCTTAGAGAACACATGCAAGTTAGAGATATAATGTAGCCTAATTGTTACTATATACAAATAGAAAGAGAAGACTACGACAATTTTGTACTTTATCTGCTCTTTCATCCATTTTACCTGCCCTCCAACTCCGTTAACTGCCGTTAAATGATAGCCTCGTGACTGTCCGTTGATCACAAACAACGAGCTGTAGGGGCGGGGCTCTACCCATTCAGTGGTGCTGTTAGTATTTAAATGCAGCATCATGAGTCGAGTCAGGAGTCCCTGCTGTGGTGCCACATACTTTACCATATAGCCTCACAATTTCATAACATGAGGCAATATCTTCATGCGGATTGTGTACTACTATACTAACCCCGTCATATTTAGGTTCCGTCCCGGAACCCATTCACTTCTTGTTACATGCTAATTTATCACATTAACATCACTAGCCCCGGCCACTTCTTTATGACCCTTGGGCTACACCCATTTCAAACCTTTTAAAACAGTCTACCTCAGCAGCAGACCATGCTTTCTCACCTGATGACGGACGCTTGTGTTGCGCCCGAAACGTCGTGATTTATTTTATGTTATACCTACGTGACTTTACCGAAAGAACCAAAGAGTATGGATTCCTGCAGTCACGAAAGCTTCAAATCAAGATGAATTTGACTTACAAAGTCGTTATAGCGCGTTGGTGGTGTTCATTCCTCACCCCCAACCCCCATTGTATGTGTAGTCATGGCTTGTTTTTCTCATTTCTCTCTCTTTACATTTCTATTTCCATGTTACGGTCCAGGGATCTCTACTGCACTAAAGGATTGTGTTCCACTACAGAGAAATCACGTCGACTAACGACAGAATGGCAGCCAAAGGAGCAAGCACTCCCGAGAACACCTCCACCATGGAGATGTAGCGATTTAATAAGTTAATGTGCAGGTGCTAGGTGGATGATGATTACATCGTCGGAACGTGAGAAATGGCGAAGGATTAGGGAGACCTTCATCCAGCAGTGGTAAGATCATGACTGCCGTCGATGACGTTTACGATGCATGCATCGAATCGTACGTCTGGGATTCACGATTCAAGCGCTGTTTGCACTAATCTACCCAGCGCGTTACACGGCGTGAGTACTGTAATGCCACTCGAAACGCGATTCGTGATATCAGTGCGGGCCTCTTGCCTAACGATTCTCGGCCACCGCCGATTCAGCCCAGGTCGCGTCACCCAATTGAACATTTCCGCTGCCGATCGCCGTTCTGAACGCCGCGGTTTGCGCGATCACCGTCGATTCCGGCAATCAGTGTTTGACTCGCGGCGAATAAAGTGCTGGGCCGTGCGGGTCTTTAGCCTGTACACGCGAGCGATATCGTCGATTACGTTCCCGTGGAGACGATCAGTGAAAGGGACGCCAAGCCCTCAACGCGCCGCGCTCTGCCATGGCCTCGGGGTCGCGGCCGCGCGGGGCCCGGGCACCGAGCGGCACGGGGACCCGGGGCCGTGGGGCGGGGGCGGTGCGGGGCCGCAACCTCCTCGCCGTGCTCGGGTAAGCCAAGGCGGCACGGCGGCGTCGGGGAGTAACTAGCACCACGGACAGCGACTCGCGTTACCTCCGGACGGCTGATGGGTGCCGCTGGGCCGTGATGGGTTGGTTGATGACGGTTGACTAGGCGAGGGAATAGGAGTTGATGCGACAGATTGAGATGGGACAGTGAAGAGTAATACTAGGTGATGGGAAATGGGTAATGATGGAATTGATTGGCAAGGATGGGGGACAATGCCTGATGACGATGGGAGACTATGATGAGCGGAGATAGGGAATGATGGGCGATGATGGAGCTGCGATGGGAGATGCCTGATAACAGAGACGTGATTGTTTTATGAAAAAAAATGCAAACTCTTTTTACTCACACAACATTTCTTCGAGAGAAAAAAAAAACGACTGTATGTGCATTTCAGTGTGCAGTTTTGTGGTATGCCTGAAGTCACCGAAAGCAGTTGTATTAGTATTGTATACCGTATATGACCAACGTCATTGTGTTTTTTTAGGTTTAATGATTATATACTGTATATGACCAACGTCAATGTGTGTTTTTTTAGGTTTACTGTGAAAACTCTGCTCGAGAGATCGAATTTTGAACCAGTAGACGAGAGCGTTGAAGAGTTTATCAATTTTGCAGCTGCACTGGAACAGTCACTTAATCACAACTTGAGAGGTAATTGTTATACGTACTGCATTTACACTGTTTAGTTCTTGTGTTAAAAAGACAAACGTATCACAATGAATACTTTGGAAAAATTGCATCAATTGAAAAAAAGTTCATTGGGAAAATGTCCTTCAGCTTGGGCTGCACAGTGGCTCGAGTGAAAGGTTTTGGGTTCAAATCCCAGTCAGGGGATGTCAACAGTGATCCTATATGCTGGCCCCCGTTATGGGAATGTCGAATTAACGCCACTGGCTTAAGACTAGCAGTGAAGAAGAGTACCGCTCCATCGCTAATTTAAACAGAGATAGTATGACTTGAGAAAGTATGTACCTGACTTTGGAATTTATACACATTTTATCTGCATTATCAAATTAGACTTTCAATAAATTACATTTGCGTAAATATTTTCTCTCTCATTGATTGTGACTTAAATGCATTTATAAAAACAACAAAGAGTAAATCATAATTCAATCGTCGAGAGGAATGCATGGAGCGAGGAGGTATTTCAATTTAGTACGTATGAGATATACCTATTTTGCACGTAGCTTTTCACAGCCACTCATAATCTGCGTGTGGACTTCCACTTGAGAAAAGAGCTTCTCAACACGCGGCCTAACCCGGAAGACACCGCTTAGAGGATATTAAATTAATGACCAGCGCCTTTTTGAGCAAAAAAGAAAACTGGACATTTGTTGAGTTTCATTTTCATTACATAAGTATAATCGAACATGAACGTCTCGTTTACCATGAACAACTTGTTAACATCACCACAGCATAGCTACAGGCCTGGACGAACGTGTATGTAATGAAAGGGTTATTTTTGTGTGTGTGTAGGTCACGTGACGTGGTTCGGCGTTGAGAACACGAGACATTTTTGGGATTACATACGAGAAGCGTGCTGGCGTGTCCCAAACAACTGCATCAGCAGCGTGCAGAACATGGAGCAGCTCGCACTGTCAGCTGCCAAGGCTAGTGCCACTCTCCTCGCCCTTTTACAAACTCTTCCTATCACATTTACTATGTACACCTTTTAATAAGCTTACACATTTGTCATGCAATGTACAGTACTTAGATTCAGAGGCAGAGGAAGCTACAGACAAGCAGAAAGGAAGCCACCCGGTAAACATTCAACGTATGGACCAACGTTTTCCCAACGTTGGCCTTAGTGTTCGATGTTTACCAAGCAGAACCGGCGCCAACAATTGCTGGAGAGGCAGATGCTTCGCCCCCGATGTTTAGCTTAGGATGCCTCTCGCATCGCTGGCCCCCAGGGGGCGCAATCATACTACTGCATCCCCTGTATGGGGGAATTCACGGGATAAATCATCAGAACAAAGCGGCACATTATTTAGTTAATTCAGAAAAGACAATAAGTGTCTCCATCCTCAAACAAACATGGGGTGGGGCTCGCCGCCTGTTGCTAGCCCAGAACCGATGGTGGAAATTCCACATTCATATGGCGGGGATGACAACAAAAATTGATCAACCACTGTTGACTGCACACAAAGTGGTAGTTATTTTGTTGAATCTAAAAGCATGTTTGGTAGACTCGACTGGCCACAGTCGGCCGAACGATCGATTGGGTTCAACCGCGCATGTCCTTGGTGCAGGGGCGAGCGTGGATCCGGGTGGCCCTCATGGAAAAGCGTCTCTCCGAGTACGTGTCGGCGGCGCTGAGGGAGGTGCACATGACAAGGTAGACAACGAGCCGCTGGAGCCACTGTGTCTCCCTGCTCACGTGAGGATTGTGGAAGTGCTCCTCCCACCTGGTGGCCTGAACCATGAGTGGAAATTGCACATTCCTATAGCCAACCCCTATGGCCAGGTTAACCACTGTTAGAAAATACCACCTGATATAGTTGCATTTTAGTTTTATTGGAATATCTGGTATTGTTGGCACGACATGCCAATGCTGTGAAATTACTGCGGGCTGTGTGAAACATATCAGCGCCTTTCTTTCTAATCGCCTTGTGCTATAATAATGGCACAACTGGCAAACATGGTTTATTATTGCGATTAAAAATGTGATCCCTTTTATTTACAGGAAGTTCTATCGGGAAGGGGCATTTCTGCTTGGGGAGGAGGGGGTCGTGCTGGCAGGGATGCTTCTCGGCCTCAACTCGATTGATTTTAGGTATTTGTTCGTCACTATCGCCGTTGTTGGGCCCGACAGTATTCTCTGTTTAACACGTCGGCTTTGGCGACCAATATGATCCATAATAGATTTATTTTGGGTTAGATTGCGTAAATATAAATGTGTCGTACAACTCTGGCTGTCACCTGATTTAGACTGGTTGCATTAATTACTGGCTAAATGTCGTACTCGAATTGTAAATGCTGTGGGTTTACTCGACAACACACCGGTGTGCTGTACTAGTGCAGTGTACGACTCCGGAGACAGTCACTGTAGAGGCACCTTCGTATTTATTTCACGTAACTTTACATTCTCACACTTCGCTAACACAACACTGACCGCCTAGCAGTGATGGCGCTGACGGACTAGATAGCTGTCTAACTATCTAGCGGTGGCGACGTCGAGCGATGACAAAGACGGCAGTGACGATGAGGAGAGCAACGACGAGACGATCCCGATTCCCACGGACAGCCCCAAGCTCCCTCTCTTGCCTCCTTTTATTCAGCAAGCGGGGCCCGGCCACGCCCTGGCCACGCCCCCCTTCTGGAACCATCTAGCTGGTTCGGGGTGTCGCAAGATGGATCCCTTCCACGACCCTTGGCCCTGATATTTTCCCTTCCACGACCCTTGCCCCAGATCTCCCCTTTTGGGTGGATACGCCCGTAGTTGCTATCCCTGGCCACCATTCGGCGCTGATACACTACACGAATAACAAATTGACATGTTTTGTTAATGTGACAAACCTTGCTACTTGCCTGTGTCAGGTAGTGGCAGGTTTAACGACACATTTATATTTACGCGATCTAACCCAAAACAACCTCTATTATAGAGTGTTCTCCATTGCATGGGAAAACACTGTCAGCCAGCTTGGCCCAACACGCTTTCTTCATTGTAGGGAATATACATGCACGTCTTTTAGTACAGTAAAATACGTGTACCAATGGCTTTTCGTTCATTATTCCTTTATATGATGGGATGGGAGTCGTTTAGGACATTGAGACGGGTCAAGAAGAGAATGCAATTGTTCAAACCCTTTTCTTCACGTCCTTCATCTTACACACATTCTATAGGGTGGTTCAGATGTCTTGTGACCCCCATTTAAACTCTAAAACTTAATTTTTTAAAAAAGTAACGTTTATTTTTAAACAGAAATTAATATACAAAAGAAAAACATCTTAGGGGTCAATTAATTGGGGGTCACAAGATATCAAATAAAACTTTACTTACATAGCATAATTCGTTCATGAAATGCAATACAAAGTGCTTTACAAGATAAATTAAAAGCGACTGACACAATTTAAACAACAATAAGATTAATATGTAAAAAAAGACGTAACATTATAATGAACTTAAAGTATAATAAAAAGCATAATAAGCACACAATCAGGGCATCCTAATTAAAAGCCAATCTAAAAAGGTATGTTTGAAGATGTCGTTTGAAAACATTCACTGATTCTAATGGACCACCCTGTACATTGCTTTCCTGTGACATTCTGAAATTGCAAGTTACTTTACTCTATCCTGGCATTTAATTTTTTGTATCCTGGTGTAATAGTTAGCACACTGGATTTGCAATCCAAAGTTCCCCGGTTGGATTGCATCTCTCTGTGCGCCAGTTGATTCAATGAGGAAAGTTACTTAGAATGTCCCCCGCCGCCTCTGTGCATGCACACCAGTATAAATGTGTACACCATAGTTACACTATTGGCAGGTTGTGCGCGGTGGAGAAAGGGCATCAACACAGATCATTCCCCATGGTGAGAGTTTCATTGACCATAGTCCTTCTGTGTTTTGTAAAGTGCCAGTTGGGGAACAAAACCCCAATAAGAACATCAACAACATTAAATAGGTTGTCTGATTTAATATATACATTTCTGAACTTAATTGAATAATAATTTGTGGATTGACAAAGTGCCTGTGGCAAATAATTGTATTTTTATTTCTGCTTAAAGTTTATATCAATGTATTACAATAACCACCCATCCTTATTAAGAAGCTGCTACTCTGTTTAATACATATATTATGGTGGCACGTTTAGTTTATTGGAACTTAAACGATGTTTAAAAATGTCAGTGTGGTTTTTGTCTTTCTTTAAAGCTTTTGTTTGAAAGGTGATGCAATGAAAATTAGTAAGCCAGCCTCGATCGACTACACCCCTTACTTGAGCTTTAAACAAAGGTGAGTGTCAGTTAGCATACACTCACGTGGATGTGCACATTGCCACGTGCATTTCTTTCTCTCGTCGGGGTCTCACTGAACGGCATTGAGATGCAAAGTGTATTTCTGCATGAACATTTTAATTGGAATGTCGCCATGCAACAGCCACCTGTTGGTCAGGTGACTCCGGTCACACGTTGTACTTGGCGCTGTGCACGATGCAAACTCACATTTGCATTCCAAAGCAGTTCCCTGTGCAAATGAATTTGCGTGACGATGGCGCGTGTTGTTGTGACAGCGTCTGCAGTGATGAGGACCTGACGACATTGGGAAGTGGCAGTGGAAGCACGTCTCTTGAAAATGACATTTTCTCTGACGTCTGTAAAGAGGAGAAAGCCTGGTGTATGAAGTATCAAAAAATGGAAAAAAAAATCAATGTTATTTGTGAGCAAAAGGTAACCACAGTACAGTTCACATTCACAATGCATGCATATAACAACATTAAAGTCATGATATGCATTGGCCGACCATTGTTTCAACGCTGTGGGCACACATGACATTGTTTTCTCCGAGGCCAAGGTGCTCTGCAAACCCTCGGGCCACCTTCATAGATTTGTTCATGAAGCCATCCAGATATACAAACACAGACAAAACTTGAATCGAGAAGATGGATTCAGATTGAGCCATCATTGGAAGGATGTGATAAACCACGTCAAGCTTTAACTGCTATGATTTTCACTCACCCACCCTGTTGTCGTCGTCCTCTATCACCCACCCGGTTGTCGTCGTCCGATTACGACTTGTACAACAAGTCCATTTACTTGCTAATTGCTCCAGCCCCATCCCGTTCCTGCACACCACAAACCCTCCCCCCTCTCCCCCACGGTGCCTCCCGTCCCTGAACACCACAAACCCTCTTCCCTTTTCCCTGTCCCTGTAAACTCCCACAGCCAAACTCCTCCCCCCCCACCCCTTCCCTCTCCCCTTCAGTGCCTATATACAGTGAGGGAAAAAAGTATTTGATCCCCTGCTGATTTTGTACGTTTGCCCACTGACAAAGAAATGATCAGTCTATAATTTTAATGGTAGGTTTATTTGAACAGTGAGAGACAGAATAACAACAAAAAATCCAGAAAAACGCAAGTCAAAAATGTTATACATTGATTTGCATTTTAATGAGGGAAATAAGTATTTGACCCCCTCTCAATCAGAAAGATTTCTGGCTCCCAGGTGTCTTTTATACAGGTGTTACGGTGTAAATGATGACACGGAGGGCAGACGTCGGGGCTGACGCCAACAGTTTATTAAGGGCTGTCGCCTAGCTTTTGAGGAAGGGCTAACACAGGACTTGGTGGTTAAGCTAAATCTCCCCAGGGAAAAGGTACTGGGAACCCCTACGCCCCCCCAGGCTAACGGGCTCTCCCCACAGCGCTGACCAACTCGGCCAGCCGGGTCAAGTAGCCCCCCTACCCTCGGTTCCCACTTCCCTACCGCTCACGACCCCGGCTCCTCGCGAAGACCCCGAACACGTCACGGGTCCTCCCTCAAATACCCCGAGGGGACATGACGTCACTCCTCCCGAGGCGAATGTGACATTCCGTCACCCCTCTACTCCTCAACACAGGTAACGAGCTGAGATTAGGAGCACACTCTTAAAGGGAGTGCTCCTAATCTCAGCTTGTTACCTGTATAAAAGACACCTGTCCACAGAAGCAATCAATCAATCAGATTCCAAACTCTCCACCATGGCCAAGACCAAAGAGCTCTCCAAGGATGTCAGAGACAAGATTGTAGACCTACACAAGGCTGGAATGGGCTACAAGACCATTGCCAAGCAGCTTGGTGAGAAGGTGACAACAGTTGGTGTGATTATTCGCAAATGGAAGAAACACAAAAGAACTGTCAAACTCCCTCGGCCTGGGGCTCCATGCAAGATCTGACCTCGTGGAGTTGCAATGATCATGAGAACAGTGAGAAATCAGCCCAGAACTACACGGGAAGATCTTGTCAATGATCTCAAGGCAGCTGGGACCATAGTCACCAAAAAAACAATTGGTAACACACTACGCCGTGAAGGACTGACATCCTGCAGCGCCCGCAAGGTCCGCCTGCTCAAGAAAGCACATATACATGCCCGTCTGAAGTTTGCCAATGAACATCTGAATGATTCAGAGGACAACTGGGTGAAAGTGTTGTGGTCAGATGAGACCAAAATGGAGCTCTTTGGCATCAACTCAACTCGCCGTGTTTGGAGAAGGAGGAATGCTGCCTATGACCCCAAGAACACCATCCCCACCATCAAACATGGAGGTGGAAACATGCTTTGGGGGTGTTTTTCTGCTAAGGGGACAGGACAACTTCACCACATCAAAGGGACGATAGACGGGGCCATGTACCGTGAGAACCTCCTTCCCTTAGCCAGGGAATTGAAAATGAGTCGTGGATGGGTATTCCAGCATGACAATGACCCAAAACACACGGCCAAGGCAACAAAGGAGTGGCTCAAAAAGAGGCACATTAAGGTCCTGGAGTGGCCTAGCCAGTCTCCAGACCTTAATCCCACAGAAAATCTGTGGAGGGAGCTGAAGGTTCGAGTTGCCAAACGTCAGCCTCGAAACCTTAATGACTTGGAGAAGATCTGCAAAGAGGAGTGGGACAAAATCCCTCCTGAGATGTGTGCAAACCTGGTGGCCAACTACAAGAAACGTCTGACCTCTGTGATTGCCAACAAGGGTTTTGCCACCAAGTATTAAGTATTTTTTTGCAGAGGGGTCAAATACTTATTTCTCTCATTAAAATGCAAATCAATTTATAACATTTTTGACATGCGTTTTTTTGGATTTTTTTGTTATTCTGTCTCTCACTGTTCAAATGAACCTACCATTAAAATTATAGACTGATCATTTCTTTGTCAGTGGGCAAACGTACAAAATCAGCAGAGGATCAAATACTTATTTCCCTCACTGTAAAGCTACAACAGCAGACTATTTTCTCACACTTGAAGACGGACGCTTGTGTTGCGACCAAAATGTCGTGTTTTCTTTTATTCTATACTTTTTTCTATCTACGTGACTTTACCAAAAGAACCAGAGAGTATATTAATTGGAATTAAGTAGTAGCACTCATAACTGGTATTGGCCAAACATACCAATGCTGAAAAATTACCTGCGAATTACTCAATTCGGATTACATATAGCAACAAAACTTGGTAGGACAAAACTTGGTAGGACCCTCCTGAAATAGAGTCTTGAGATTCAGTGAGGCTTACCTGGGTTAAACAACATAATAATGCTCATAATTGGTTGTTCTGAACCTATGGGGAAAACTAAATAAATCTATCAACTGTGCACTGCCCACAGTGGGGGGGGGGGGGGGGGGGGGGGGGGGGGGGTGACACGTGTCCCCCCAATGATCCGATCGAAATCCCTAATTTCGATCGGATCATTGGGGTTTATTAGTAATAAATCGGCATTTTGCGATCCCCACTGCCACTCTAGTATATTATTACGTGGCAAGGACTCTATGAGATAATAGGACAATAGTCTGAGTCCATAATTGTCAATAAGTAACGGCAAAGCAGTTATAAGTGACTCACAGAATTGTGCGCAGTTGCGTATTCAGCAGGACACGACTTCCCTGAAGGCATCAACACCTTCAGCGAGCACGATGCCGATCACACGACGCGGTTCAAATTCGACCCTCGATCGATGGCTGCGCCATCGTCGCACACGCGTCGAATAATAGCAAGGGACAAAGTCCTTATTTACTAACAACTCCTCTATCATTTTTCATTGCTGGAGGGGTTGCCCCCGTACCGAAAAATCCTGGCTCCACCATTGGATGGGGGGAGTTAACCCCAGATTTGGATTTGAACATACAGTACCTTACAGTTGTGAGTTGAGTGCTTGCAACATTGGCACCCATAGTTAAGTATTTATTTTAAGGACAGACGTCACCAGATATTATGGGTCTTCTGTATCGACAATCATAAGGAAACTCATGGTGTGTGTATCTGCTGTGGCTGTAATTCAGTGCTTTGAGGTCAAAGTTGGTGATTGACACAGATTTTCTCATGCGTATGAGACTCAGAACCTGTTGGGCTCTTCGATGTTCTGCTGAGGACAGTGCAGTGATTAGGTTGGCTGCAATATCTGTACTGGCTTTCGCTTTGATTTCCCAAAAACGTTCCAGTTTTATTTCACACTCAATACTGTCAATGCCAGGAAGTGGGCAAACAACATAATCAGAACATTTCAATTCTGCGGTCCAATCAAAAGCTTTGCATCATTGGCAGCGATGAACTCTGGATAGTTGTCTTGTACGTACAGGCATTAATCATGAGTTGAGACCAAATTACTGGTACACTCACGTAATCCACGCACAATTTAAATGTATGACGTGGATAGAGACAGATCGTTGTATTTACGTGTGTGACTGTAGTAGCAATAATCTTTTGTCGCTTTCCCGTTTTGGTATCCAGTACGTTTATAACCAGGAAAAAGATCTGTCAATTGTAATTGATCCGTTTGGGGTTGGTGACCCCACCACTGAGTGGACGCAGGCAAACTCGAGTGTGTCCTTCAAACGTGCGCGCTGGAAAGTTTGTGAGGTCTGGCTTATAAAAGGTCAAATATACTATAACTGAGTAAAAGTAAATACAATTGAATGGAATTGATCTTTGAGAGTTAATCTGAACACGTGCTCAGAATTTAGGGCATCAAGTAAACATGACTACTGTGGTTGCATGTACCGGACTCTCACCTGGGGTCACACGAGATTATCCTGCATCTTGGCCCGTCATTAATACTACAAACACGCGATGGGTACCATGGAAATCAAATCATTATTTCTTGAACTAATTATTTTTTCGAATAATAGTGATCGTAAATGTAATTAAATTCTAACAACTTCATGAAAGTAACAATCTTCGCATTCATAGGTCATTTTAATTCCTCAGCATCTCAAAGCTCCCTATATTATATCTCATCTCAACCATTTGGAGGGTACCCCCATTGGCAACTGTCCCTGTGCGGCACAAGGTGTCTTAGCACTGGCCTTTTGGTGGGCATTAATCTGCCAGTAGGTGGCAGGATAGTGGGGGCAGTCGCAAAAAAGTAGTCGATTCTAATTTTTTGTTAGTTAATCAACGGAATTGACGAATTTCCCCCAGCTGTGCTCTCTGTTATAAACTCTAACTTATTCCTGAAAGCTCAACAATTAGCTAACGTTCACTTGTGCCAATTGTAATTCTATCTCAGTGTTCACATAGATCTATCCTTACATTCTCCTCGTCACATACTCAAGTGCATCACGGTGCTGTGTTCAACACACTCAAGATGTCTGTCAGTCACAACACTCTTTCCATGTTGCATACGTTGTGTTCTTTTAGTTGTCTATCTAAAAACTTAATACGCATACAAGTGGCAAAACTGTCATGTAACTTATAAGAATGGTTATCACGGAGACCCACAAACTCGCTTTGCTGAAGCGGAGGACTTGCTGAGCTCAAGTGAATGCATGCAAAAATAACACGTGATGCTTCTCTCGTCTACTGCTCCCGTAGTCTGCTGTCATGTACTCATGGCCTCGGTCTTGTTGCAGGCATACCTGGAGGAGCTTGTGCATCTGCGAGAGGCCCAGATAGAAGATATTTCCACTCGACACCAAAATAACCTATTTCTCATGGAGGAAATGAGCTTAACGACTCGTGTGGAGGAGCAGCAGCTGCAGGTCATCACGTGGGAGCTCAAGCAACAGCTGTAAGCACGCGCACGCCTTGTGTGGGGCGCCGTGATGGCGAGTTGTTAACTATCACCTGTTATACAGGAGTTTGTGGGTTCTATCCTGACCCTGACGTCTGTATATACGGAGTTTGTGTGTCTCTCTCTTTCTCCCCGTGGTCACGTGCATTTTTCTAAGGGTCCTCCAGTTTTCCCCTCCACATTTAGAAACATGCGTTTAGAGTATTTGGCTGCTATAAATTTCCACGTGATAAGCCACTTTGTTAAGCTATCATTTGTGGCCAGGTCGTTTCTGAAAAAGGGCTACTGTATATAGCTCAGTGGGCCTTACCTGTTGCAATAAATACAAATTTAGTTTTAGTTTAGTGTGGATCATAACGCATCGAATGTCCGAGGGCAGCAGCTGCCTTTTGTGGGGCTCGTATTTGACTTGTGCTATTAAACACCAATGCAAAACGATTACGTCTTCGAACGCAACGGGTACCCTGCTATGAACGAGCAGCACCGTGCATTGAGAACAATAATCATGAATGCTGTACGATGCGATACCATGCATCAAGAGCAATCACGACATCGCACAGTGAATCGAGTGAATTCGCAAGGTCCTAGAGTCGCTTAAGTGTTAACGAGTACAATCCGTCAGGTACTGTCTCAGTTGAACCAAATGTGGCAAGTGGGGGGCCGTTGTTAGACTCCAAGTGGCACGCTAAGCATGTTCAGTTTCCACTGCTGGCTCCAAGCCTTCAATGGAGCGCATCCCCACTACGATGTGACTTTAGTCTGCAAATGGACATACAGTAACGAGCGTAAACTATTAATGTCTTATTTACTGGTTTCCTTCGCTGTTTATGCTCACAATGACTCAAACACGATACCATACGGCTGTCCTGTTCTCTGTGTGAACACTGCGACAAAAACGGAGAAAATCCACCGTAAAGTCGATGGGTCAGGTGAATCGTATACACCTCAAGTGTTTTAATCCACATTAAGCAGATTGGACACTGTTCACATTCTCAACCTGTACACACACACACACTCAAGTTCCATTCTGTATGGGCTCAACTACATTTGAATGAAGCATTGTGTTGCTCTAATCCCAGATAACCTCATATAAATATGTGTATAGTTGACCTAAATTATCTCCAGGGTCAATGTAAGAGCACACGTTTTATGGCAAGGTCATTTATGGCTGTTTTTGACAGGAACTAGCAGCTATTGAACATTTTTCCCTCGTTTCCAACAAAAAAAGAATAATCATATTCACATGTGGCTGGTAATCATCAGCTGATGTTGTCAATGGCACTGCCACTATAATTGGTATGGCTATGGTAATTATCTGTGGACATGCCAATAAATACACCTGCCTACCAGTAATTTGTGCATTTGCAAAGGCCATTAGCTTTGAGATGGTGGGAAATTGTGCCTAGCAGTGACAGCGTGGTATATGTGTTTACCTGTACGTATGTTGACTTATTTTACACTATACGTAGCCAACCTCACTAATCGGAGGTGCTGGGGATGGACAACAAACTAACCACAAAAAGCAGTTCTAAAGAAATTAGTTTTCTAACCTATAATTAAAAGTCCATAGCTCCAGTAACTTCCTAATATTGGAAGGAAGAGTGTTCCAAACGGCCGCAGAAGCGATGCAGTGATCGTCTTTGTTCGATGGCTATCCCAAAGCTGCTGCGAGGATGACCGTAAAAATATGAGGGTGGCATATGCATCATGGGCACCACATGTTTGTTCCATATACATGAAAACCCTCTTCTCCTGTGATTGTGCTTGTTTCCTGAAAGGCTCACTGAATCTCGACTCTGTATTATCAGGGTCCTGCCATGTTTTTTTTATCAGTAGAGGGCAATGTTGCTATGTAATTTGCAGGTACATTCTTAGTATTGGGATGTTTTTACCAATTCCAGTGATGTACTTTTTTTACACATATATAAGGGAGAGATCGCAGAAACCTGGAGAAAAGCAATGCGGAACAGAGGGAGAGCCATGCACGCTCCACACGGAGTCGAGAATCGAACCCAAGCCATTTTTTTCCATGAGGCACAAAGTGCGTACCACTGTGTAACCCTGCCGTCCAGTATGGCATGCACTCGACTTCCCTTAACTGCCCGCTATGGAGTGTGCAGAGTCTGTCACGGCTGAGCGAAAATGTACAGCCGAGTTCGAACTTTGGGTCATACCGAGCGATCCGCGAGCGGTGTTTATGCCGAGATGTGCGTTGCTTCACACGCGCTGTCGTGCTGCCCATGACGCAAAATTGTGCCCAAAATAATGAAAACGCACACGGGGGTAACCGGGGGTAACCGCCACCCGCAGCGAGGCTCCGTTGCCTCGGCACGGGGTCGCGCCCTCCTTCTCGCTTCTATGGATATAAGTGGGTGATATAAGGCGAGCGCCACGGTGTTATTTGGTCTTTCATATTTGTCCAGCTGAACTCTACTCCGTCTAAACCATCGGGATCAGTTTTGATGAGCAGTGACCCATTTTGACTGTCTCATAAAAGCATACATGTTCTAGTGTTCTGATGCTTTTTGCTCACGGTGACCCGTCAAGACCCAGAAATTAATCGAGGCCGAGTCTACACACCGTGACCTTTATAAAAGCGTCAACGTGGGACAAGTATCCATGTCTCTCTTGTGTGAATGTACCACACATTAAATACACTTTTCCGTGTTTCACTATCCTTGTCATAATATCCCAATTCTGAAAAAATATTTGCAATAAACTATTTTGGGATTACACTTATCAACATTGTTACCAGGTAAGGCCCACTGAGCTATATAGCTATTTTTAGAAGCGCCCTGGCCACAAATTATAGCTCAACGAAGTGGCTTATCATGTGGAAATTTATAGCAGCCAAATGCTCTCAATGTATCTTTATAAAAGTGGAGGGAAAAACCGGAGGACCCAGAGAAAATCGAAGCGATTGCGGGGAGAACATGCAAATTCTAAATATACAGGCGTCGAGGTCGGAATCTAACACACGACCTCCTGTATACCAGGCGAAGTAGTTAACATCTAGCCACCGTACTCAGACTTACCTGGGTAAATAAGCTTTCTAATAAATACACAGTGTATAACTGTGGCACACACTGAGCCATCATACTGTAAACCACCAAGGTGCACAGAAGCTGTTTTCTGTTGTTATTTTGTTGTAGGGCCAAAGTGAAGCTCCAGGATCAGTGTTCGAGACAAGATCTCACCAACTTCTTTACATCTCAGTGCTTTTCCCCCCCCTCCTGGACTGTGGAAAATGTGGCGATGAACACCATGATTTGTCAAAGAGAGCATACAAGGTGAGGTGATGAGAAAAACTGAATAGTGTAGTAAAGGCAGTTGGGAAATCTCTGACACAAACAGATCAACTAAATTGGCAGCTCGTACACCGAGGTATTATGCCTTGCTGTGGAGCATTATGGGAAAAAGCTAATATAAATGGAAGTCCGCTCTCTCTTCATATACAAAGCAAAAACATATCTGAGTCCATCAGTCTATTGGCTTTCCACACCAACATTATAAAGTATAACTTAAATTTTGATTTAAAGCTTTCGTGACTACAGGGATTCATATTCTTGGTTCTTTCGTGACTTTAACCGAAAGAACCAAGAATACAAAGTATAACTTGTTTAAGAACGGATACCGTGGGTCTCATCAGGAGAGTTAGGCTTATGAAACAAACGCTGCGGCTGGATCACCAGATGTTAAATATTCGGTTATTTGCTTTTACCCATAATGATCCACGGCAATGCATAATACATTTGCGTATGGAGTGTTCCTTGCACTGCCATCTGGTAATCCAGCAACTATTGCTACCAGCATGGGATTTTTTTTGCATAATTGTACATACTTCTTGCAAGATGTAACTATAAATGCACGCATAAAATGACCTGAAAGCCTCCGAATGCATTCTGAATAATCTGGTGTAGTGTATAGCATTACGAACCGGGCGACCTGAGTTTGATTCTTGCCCGTGGCTGACATCGGTGGTGACTAGTGAGCAATGTGTGAACTGGTCTTGGGCCACCTCTTCACCAGCCTCCATTGATCAGAATAGTAAAGTATGGTATGGTGAAACAACCCCCATGAGAATCATGGAGTGGGAAGGGCTTCCTACAGCATTGGCTTGACAAAGGATTGTTCTTTATTATGTAACCTGAAATAGATGACAGGATAATCTCTAAATTTAACACTATCTTCCAGAATGTATTTAGCATCTAAACACAGTGGAGCAGTAGGAACACTTTGTGCCTCACAGCAAGAAGATCCTTAGTTCGATTCCCGATTTAGGCGCCTTTCCGTGTGGAGTTTGTATGGTCTCCCCCTGTTCTAAACGGGGGTTTTCCAGGTTCTGCAGCTAAACAAAACAATCTAACTGAAACATTACAAACAAATTACCTGTAAATTACCTTATTACGAATACACAGCAGCAACATCGCCTCCGACTGCAAAAACTTTGCAGGATCCCCTAATTTAGTTATATTGTTTCTTATTAATGTGACCTGGATTGCTTATAGCAAAACGTGGGTTGATTGGTGGAAAAATACACTGAACGAATATGAGCAATTAAAACAGGTCTTGCCTAGGTTCGAGTTTTCATTCGCATTGAGGGTATATGTATCTCATAGTTTAATGAAGTTGTCTTGCAATGCAACAGTCATATTACACAATGAATCTACAGTGGGTGGTTTGAGAATAAGTGAATGCAGTGAGGTGATTACAAATATAAAGTGTGATTCCTATACTCAATAAACCACACACATTCCAGAAATTAGCTCTGCAAATAGCAATTTACATGAAGCATTAGAGGTCCGTGAATTATTTATGTATACGGGCAATCCTCGACTTACTAACGATTTTCGTTCCTGAGACCCGTTCGTAAGTAAAACCGTTCGTAAGTCGGGTGTTCGTAAGTCAGGTATTCGTAAGTCAAGGACTGCCTGTACATGTCATTCCAGAAGTCTTCTGAGTCTGGAGAATCTCTCAGGAGATAGTAGCCCCTTCTCTCTTCACGGGGACACCTCCCACTCACAACTGGATTCCGAAGCAAATTCTGCTGCTAACTGGAAGCAAATGGGTAAGTAAGGATTGTGGTGGGGGAAGGGATTACTTTGTATATTATATCAGTTGTATGTAAATCACATACACATAACCCTTCTACTGAAAAATAATGGAACTGGACTATTTTAATTTAGATTGTTTGAGTCCCACTGGATCTAACGTGTGCATGCATTAATGTCTCACAAGTGTTACTCTTTTTGAAATGCTTTCATTTCTACGTTTCATGAGCATAATATTTTTTGCCAGTTTGCCAGGTGGGAGGGTGGGGCGCCAATCCGTGCCACAAATCAATGGCAGCCAATCGCAAGTTAGCGGCAGGGCGCTGGGATTCCACCAGAGAATCGTGACATCACAATGTAATCCCCGCCCATGGACAGAGCTGACCAGGAAAGACTGAGTCATCTAAAATGCATGCACACGTACATTTGCCACTAATGGATTCGCTTCCAGCAGAGATATTACAAAAGTGTGCAATTTCCTTGCTCGTTGCTCAACCCACTCGGCAGCGTGCCAAGGCGGATTTGAGAGTTGTAAAAAAACAAGTATAGCAGCCGTGCATCAATAGATATATCCCCAGAGAGCTCCACATCTCAATCAAGGTTACTGTCAAAGGGTTGGTGACGGCTAATTCCGTGTGATGCCACCGCACGCAGTTTACAGCAACCTCTGATGTCCACTATAACAGTCCCATCATGAGGCTTCGTGTCTTCTCATTGTCTAAAGTCGCTTGGTAACCTCTATTCTGCACATTTAAGCTTCCCGTTATCAATTACAATCACAATTGTTTTGGTACGTTTTATTCAATGCCTAAACTAACTAGCTCACCTTGTCGTAGTTGATAGCATCCTGCACATGCACTTTGTGTGTAAGGGCTATCCCAACCAATACGATTACTCCGACATTACTATCGTATTAAACCCTCAGCCCTCAATGCTAAAGCTGACCTCTATATGCTCCCAGAGTAGTCCAACTGTGATGGTTCATTTGAACAATTCTGGAATAAACATATTCCACAGTGGCAGACCCCATTCCCGAACGTGTTAAGTCAACCCATGCTGTGCAGTGCACACTTTAGAGCACAGTCTCATGCATAACTACCTTATGACCACTCCCACACTTGCAGTGTAGGAAAATGCCAAATACTATATAGTTTTTTTCCGACATTGCCAAGACTGGCGTAGACAGTTTGTGTGTGTATCTGCAAATTGAACAGACGTGCACAATGTGACCTTACATGGCTAAATCCAGGTGTTGGAGGTTGTTTACCCCACTTGGACATGCTTAAAATAGAATTCAGCCTTGTCAAAACCAACACTGAGCCATACAAATGTTTAAATGATCTGACCCGATAAAATTGGGATCAGAGAGTAAGGACAATGGGTCGCCAGTCTGGAAGACTGCACACGTCATCGCCAAAGCCACGTAACACAGATTAATCACATCAGAACATTGCAGTGCTGATGGGCATTGCATGTGGTTGTCCTGGTTAACGGCATAGCATTTTAATAGCTTTGCATTTTTTTGGTTATTACTGCGGGTGTATTAGCCGCAAATATACGCGCTATCTGCTACACAATGGTCATTAAAGATCCTGTGACGTGGTTTGCAAGAGCAGGCCATTGTGCTGCTGGCATCTTGGTCCAAATATGAGAAAGGAAAAAAACATACTCTCACAAATAACTCGTTTGGGAAATACATATCAGTCATCGGCATCCCCTGTGAAAACTTGTCAGGACCCTCCGGAATAAGGGTCATGAGACTTGGTGGGGCTTTCCTTTGTAAACAAGCGTAATATTGTGGACATTTGATATATGGCCCATGTTTAAACAGTTTTGTATAATAGTTCACATGAAACCAGTTTATAATACGTAAAGAACATTTGTTTGTCTGGCTAATTGTTTTGCTGTATTTCAAGTAATTCATGTCTGTTTAAAGCTCTTAATGCATAACGCAACACATACAATAAATTATCTCTAAAATAAGTATGAGATATCTTTCAAATGGTAAAATGTTGATTAAAAATAAGTACACTCTTAACAGTTGTTTCCAAATAGTGAAATTAGCTACTAATGATACAATTATCTGTCTCAACCACCTCAATGTAAAATTATAGGTGCTACTCTACATCAACATGAGCCATACACAGAATAAGTGAACTTATCTTCCTATTGACTGTACAGTTGTTATTAGCGATCATTGTAACTTTATGCTATTCGTGCAGATGAAACTCCCTCTTTGCTGGGATTGTGCGGATCACTGTCATCGCTTACAAGCTACAAGTCTCTGACGAGCCTGAAGTCAGCAGATGACCCTGCCAGCCCTGCACAAGAAGGCCTTTTATAAACAGATTGTATTCTAAATCGTGCATTTGCAATGCCACAATCGCTTGTTGCTGTTATTTTCAATGCGTCACTTTTTAAATAAACATATGATACTGAAGTTGTTGGATTAAGACAACGGTTAAAAGTCTGCTTTTCTATGTTCAAGGTTTATGGTAAAAAACAAAATGCATGGCAGTAATATTCACATTAAAAATAATAACATATGTAAACGTACAAATAAGCACGCGATCATGTTTGGTAATTTACTGCCATATAATCAAGTCAGAATATCAGGAAAGGTGGAGGCTGCTGCCAGAACATTCCGATTCGTTATGAGGCCTAAAGAATGGACTCACAATAGGGTTGCGAGTACAAATCTTTTTTGCGGGTGACTCCGTCCATCATTCTTCCCGTGTCGATACAATTCCTACTACTCTGTGGGAAAGCCAACAGTGGTTATCTTATGGAGAGACTCTCCACTGCCATATGAATGTGGATTTTTTTCACCACTTGCTCAGGGCTGTAAAGCGGAGAAGAGCACCATCTCAAAGCTTATTTGAGTAGGAAATCACTTTGACTTTATGACTTAGAATTGGTGTCTATTTAAAGTGAACTATCATACATCACAACGTGTAAAGCAAGACTGCATATGAACAATTTTAGTATGTGGTAGTAGCTGCTTCTTTTGCTTCATTATCCAATGCTGTATATTTACTTGGATGTAACTCTTCCAAAACAATAAAAAAAATACTGGCTGCCGAAAATGTTTTTTGTATCACTGAGAATGTCACGCTATTGCCTCTGCCCTACGTAACTTGTACTTACAGTACGGCACACATTGATGCATGCTGCCAGTGTAACCTCAAAGCGACTTCGACATTCATCAAATTATACTCGGTCTGTGAAACTGTCTGGCGCAGAGATTTATATTTAAGTTTTCCAATACGATCGAAGAGCATGGCAATACATATCAGATCACTGTTAATTCTGCACTATTACACTGCTTCTCCCTTAAGCAATGTGCACCCTAATATATTATTTGACATGTTCAAATATGTCCATAGAGCAAACAATGCCGTGTTTGTATTTTGACCCGAAGTCCTGTCTCTCACGTGCGTCATTGCTCTCATCAATTAGTTTTAAGCAACCAAATGTCTTCTATTTTCATGTTGTCATTTGCGAAAGCATTAGCAAATATGCAGCAATGTCCTGATTCTGAAGATCAATACATTTCCCAAAGGTATTTTCTTAAGATGCTTTGGCTTTTCTAAAACGATAAAACACTACATTACTTTACATTTTGTGTAATTCTAGTCGGTGTCTAGATGGTCAATTCAATGAGGGATGGAATCACGTTTCATCACCCTGAATAGGCGAAAACGGTACGCGACACACCATACGGAGTCGCACTGCACGAAAGGTGGCATGGTGGCGATATGTTAGCCACCTCGCCTTGTTATGATGGGGTGGGAGTCGTCATTTAGAGAGTTGATGAGCACAGAGAACGCAGTTGGAAGCGGCTCCCTGTCGCCCCCAGCAGGCGGCATCATAACAGGTGCAGCTGCCGTGTGGCAGCAGCAGCAACACTTAATATCGAAAAAAAGGTCGAAAGAAAGCAAAAGAAAGATCTCACCAAGAAGATTCTCCAATCGTAGTCAAGTAATCTCGACAGCCAATGCTGAGACGTGCAATTTCTGCTAGAAAAAAAAGAGCTGAGAAATTTCGTTATCTTCGGAATTAAAGAGAAGCCCTTTCTGTATTTGCTAACGCATTAGTAACGCTAACAGTAAATAGATGACGACATTTGTTGGTCTAAAACTAATTGATGGGCGCATCTTTCGTCACCTATAATTGTTAAGATAATACGTCTAAATCCCAGCTGTCATAATGAACGTGTTTTTTTACGTGGCAGCAGAAACACACCATGGTGGGCGGTGTTGTGTGCTGTGGGCCGAGCGGGAGTAGCGTGGTGGGGCGGCTGTGTCCGTGTGCTGAGCGTGTGCAGTCCACAGCACTTGTGCCACCGCACTACCACCACACCCTGTCAGCCACTGCCTGGTGCCAAGTCTTGGCAGCTCAGAAATGTACATGCCCTAGGTGGTGGTGGTGCTCGTGGTGCAGGGTGGTTGTGATTCTAGGTCTGGGTCAGATGACAAAGTGGGCCGGAATAAGTGTTCTGAATTATTAATATCCACTATCAGACCTCCTTTGCCAGTAGCAAGATATAGTAATAGGTTTTTACCCTTTTATGTGGCACCAAAACTGACACCTTTATACAAGGGATCAAGTTTGCAATAACCCATTTCAAGGACAGTGCATATGATTATCAGAGTTGTCTCTTTGTTTGCATTTTGACTGCTTGTGTTGTGGTTATTGCAAACATGATCCCTTGTATAAAGGTGTCAGTTTTGGTGCCAGATAAAAGGGTAAAAATCTATTACTGTTAATGTCCACTCTCTATTGCAGGTTGAATATGATTGCAATAGGTGGGCGTTTTTGCCTCAGAAACTTGACACGTAGCTTGACTACATTTGACAACAATACAATGTTTTTTTCTATCGTGCAAATAAAATGGTTGGCATGCAGCACAATGCCATTTATTTTTGCGTTATTATCAAAGGCAAGTTCCGCTTTTCACTACAGTTTGGTTTTATATAGCAGTGCCAAAGTATTTTGGAAAATCTAAAAACCCGCTCAAACATGACAGGGTTAAACATCATAAATGTTAGCTAAAGTATAAGTAAATATGAACAGAAATTATCCAAATATGGTTTGTGTGTGTACAGTACTACCAAGTAAGCCCGTGATTAATCACAGATCTGACATTTTTGAAGTTCTGAGGTTTGTTGAGTTTTATTTTAGATTGTAGTACAATGATGATGTATGTCCAGTAGTTATGCATTGGTGTTAATTTGTTTTGTTCGTTTCTTTATCAAAACTAGAAGAGAGAATGTGCACTTGTACCTACGTTCCACGTACGGACAACTCAAGTCCATTGAAAGTGAACTTCAGTTGGTTATCAGACTTGGTCATGCAATTTCTGCTTTGCCCACATTCTAACATGGAGAATTAAGGCCAGTCAGTCCAGCGAAATCGGCGTCGAGAATGTATGCCCAATGAAATGGCTGCTCACTTTAATTATTCGCAAGTGTGGACACACAGCGACAGGGGGGCAACTCGAGTAGGTATCCGAATTCTATGGCTCATGGAAATGCGATATGCAATCCAAACAACTTGTTAATTAAGGATCTACATTTCGTCCGATCTTTGAGGTGAAAGTGAAGCTAATCAGTACAACGTGTTCATTTATGTGAGAAATGTGTACGTTTTTAAAAAGTTGGCCCAGTCCACACATTTTCTTGCGCACATTTGAATTCTGTTCAACAAAAAAAAATTTCAGTCAATGATATCACACAAACATGGCGATACCACAGTTCCTCCCTGCATATGTAAAAATTATATTATTATCCCTCGTAAAACCATAAATCTGTTGGCACAACAATCTCATCTGACCTGTCATGGAATGGCTGTAGTATTAATCTGGCTAAGGAGGCATCAAAGAAGCTTGGCTTTCTTTTCCGTGTCGATGCCTCTCTAACTCTGTGCAATTATTACTGCTGATATATAAAGCACACATTCGGCCAAAGTTGTGATATCAGGAGTGGTGCACCCAGTTCCTAGATCCCTGTCCCTGATATAATTGAATGTAAAGCAGTGAGGGTGATTGATCCTGCACTTACTTATTCACTCAAGTCACATGCTCACTGGTGGTCAATTGCCTCCTTACCACCCTTTTATCGCTACTTGAATGGTTTCTGTTTGTTTAACATGTTAGACCTTCACAACCAATATTATCCATAATATAAATTATACTATTTGGTTCTTTCGGTAAAGTCATGTAGGTATAAAATAAAATAAATTAAATCACGACGTTTCGGGCGCAACACAAGCGTCCATCATCAGGTGGGAAAACCACAGCAAGCAACAACTGCTGAAGTGGGTAGAATGGCTCCCGTAATACGAGGTTATTTAGGTAATAGAGATTTTTAGGTTAGAATGCGTGAGTAGAAATGTGTCGTGAAACCCGCCACCACCCGACAGCCAATTAGTTCAATACACCGGTGTATTGGACAGTAAATTGTAAATATTGTGGGTTTACTCTTCAACACACCGGTGTGATGAACTAGTAACAAATTGACATGTTTTGTCTACGTTACAAACCTTACTAATTGGCTGTGTCGTGTGGTGGCGGTTTTAACGACACATTTATATTTAAGCAATCTAACCAAAAAACCTCTATTATGGGCCGTTTCTGTTTCTGTGACTTCACTCATTGATTTCTCCACCCATGTTGAGGACTAATTTTTCCAGACTGACTGTTTCATCTCATCATACCATGTTCAACCACTACACTGAAAGTCGCAACATTTCACTGCTTTTTTCCCTCGCACTGTTCAACTCTGGAATTCCCTCCCATCGTCTTCCCCCCATCCCTAAATTCTCATAACCTCGCTAAATTCAAGAAATGCCTTAACTCTTATATGCTGTATCACAACTTTGATGGTGCTGTTTGTTGCTGGTGGCTTGACGTTTTGGCATTTGGGCCCTGTGATTAGAAATTGTGTCCGTAGGACATCACCTGGACAGTCAGCTCGTCTATGTAAAGTCTCGCATTGAGACCAGGATTCTTGTTGGCACCGAGCTTCAAGCCTCGCGTGGTATGCAAGAGGTCGTGGGTTCGATCCCGACCCACACGCCGGTTTTCCCCTCCACATTTAGAAACATGCGTTGAGAGTATTTGGCTGCTATACATTTCCACTTGATAAGCCACTTCGTTGAGCTATCATGTGTGGCTAGGTCTCTCCTGAAAAAGAGCTATATAGCTCAAGTGGGTCTTTTCCTGGAAAAATAAAAATAGTTTTTTTTAGTCTGCATCTTGGCGAGATAGTGTATCATTAGAGAGGCTTTGGTCATGTCTGAGAGGCTGTGACGATATTCGTATCGATAACCTTAACACTGCGTTTTTAAAAATATTTTTTTTGGCTAATACTACATTTCAAAGTGCGTCACATTTATTACGTGTTTTTTTTAAATCTCTGTGAGTGACATCATGTGTTTGTCTTGGCTGCTGCTATATAAGACCTTGCTGGACCAAAGCGTTTTCTTTATCCCTTCGCAGAAATGTTCACGTAAGTACAGTATAAAACGTGTAATTCTTCGTGAAAGTTGAACATTCTTTGAATAATAAACAGCCGAAATTCAGCCTTTATTTTCATATATATATTACAGTATTGTGTTGTGAAGTACTTAAAAATGCAGAGGTTTAATGTATTTATATTTATAATACATGTTATTGTGTTATGTTTGGAACAATGCACAGGGTGGTCCAGATGTCTTGTGGCCCCATTTAATTCACGAAAACGTAATATTTTTTTAAAGTAACGTTTATTTAAAACAAATGAATCTGTAAAGAAAAAAATGTTAGGGGTCAGTTATTTGGGGGTCACGAGACATCTGGACCACCCTGTACAATGCAACCCTTCTTGTCTATTGATGTGATGGAGTGATTAAGTCAGTTAAATGTGCAGGCCCGAGGTGGATTGTTGTGTTGCGGGATTGTCGGAGGTGGTGGCGGCTTTTGGAGGCCTTCACCCAGCAGGGGATTGACCTCGGCTGATCATGATGATGACATCACTTGAGCAAAGGGGCTCATTGACCTAAGCGTTGAACCTTTGTAACTGACACTGATCCGTAACATTGCGAACCAAAGAGAGAGTTCTGCTTCAGTGACAATTCATGTCGTGGAATCATTACTGGAGGACATCAACCTCAGAAGCCCTCACAGCAATCAAATGCAGTACAATACATATCAATAATATATTCGGGTTAGCTATTTCGAGATAGAGACCAAAATGGATAATAAGCTCATCTCCAACCTGATACACACATTACCATTTACGTGACTCAATGGTTGATAATTAATAATTGGCTTCAGTCATATAAGTGGTACTGTTTGTACCAGGTGGAGGCAGGCCTGATGAACCAATTTGGGCTCTATCCTCACGCAGCTCACTGGAATATACTACCGGTATGAACCTACACAGTTGTGAAGATTAACACAGAAAAAAACAATTATCTGACTCGATATGGGCAAGAGTTCAGCATCACTCAGCGATTAATTAAATTAGTACCACTGTTAAGAAAAACTATCTCCCATCATAGGAAAGTGGAATTTCCACCCCTGGCTCATCTCCATTGACGACAGTCAATGGAGATGAGCACATGCCTCACCAGGACGGGTTTCGGCGTAGAAATAATGTGACTGTTGTTGATGTGGCTACCTACTCTTTACATACTTTTTGTGTGCAAACACCATTTAAATTGTTTGTTCCCCCTTCCGCCATCCCACCGGTACATTTATCCGCAAAGCAAAGCTTTAGAGACCTTTTCACATTTCCAGCAGACTTGGCTCCAGCTCCTCACGGATTTGGGAGCCACTAGAGCTGTTGTGTGGGGGCGGCCAACATAACGGGGATACACTCGGGTGGCCAAAGGGACGCTTGGCAATGCAGGGGTAACCCCAGCAGCCCCCTAGTGCCGGCCCTGTGTCCCAGACTGACTTCCCCTGTACTACACGAGGAATACGGCAGAATTGACCTCAACTGCCCCCACCTTGACCCATCACTGAGGATAGAAGTACTTTCCCATAGACCACAATTTTTCACAATTGTGGATGAGTCCATATCCATTTATCTCTTACGTAAATATTTGTTTTCTTAAGTTCATAATCCCTCGGATCAGTTCATGACTAGTCATAACTCACGTACTGTATCTATTAACAATAAAACATTACCGTCTATTTACATAACAATTCTTAAACGGGTGAATATGTAAGCCATTCTAGATTTGAAGCTTTCGTGACTGCAAGGATCCATACTCTTTGGTTCTATTCGGTAAAGTCACGTAGGTTATCTGCAAACCCACGGGTTATTATCAGAGATTTGTCCACGAGGCAATTCAGATTTACAAACACAGACACAATTTCAAACGAGAGGATGGTTTCAAATTGAGCAATCATTGGAAAGATGTTCTAAATCAAACCAAACATTAAACTAATTTTCAATGGTACAGTATATTTTTTCAAGTAGTGATATCCCAAACTTTCACAGCTGCTTATTTCCCTTCACACCAACATTATGTAAACTCTCCTCCCCCCACGCCTGGTCCATCATGGTCCCCCCCCACGCCTGGTCCATCATGGTCCATCATGTACCTCCTACGTACATCATGCTCATTTTTATGCTAATTCCTTTGTCAAGGCGCCTTTGTTTCCTCCCACACAGCTTAAAGGACGCGACCTGGGCTTGGCTGATTTCACTCCAACGCTGTCTTCTGGACAGTCGGTCCCTTCATCTGATGAAGGCCACTTGTGTTGTGGCCGAAACGTCGTGAATTTTTTTACCTACGTGACTTTACCGAATAGAACCAAAGAGTATGTAAGCCATTGTAGTGAGCTGCCAGAAATTGTGCTGTAGAAACAAGCTGTATGAAATGTTCAATGTATTTGAGCCTTCTGTGGTAGATTGTGCCCGTGTGCATGTGTGCGTTTGCTCTTGCACAGAACCAAGGCGATTTTGGTGGCAGTGGCCCTGTCAACCCTGGTGTGCACCACACGAGTGATGGCCGATAACATTGCCTGGAAAAAACTGGACACAAGCCTCGTAGAAAATCAAAAAATAATTGAGGAAGTACACAACATGCTGCGTCGTTCTGTCACCCCGAGGGCTGATAACATGCTAAAAATGGTAAAACACGCGAGTGACTTTTTTATATTACAGCGCATGAACGAACACTTTTTTAAAAAAGATCCTTTGCGAAATGCTCAGCGTCCTTTCAAAATTGACGCAGCTACCTTTACACTGTAACATGGCATGTTGCGAACATATGAGGAATGTAAAAAAGAGCCCAGATAAAACCTTTGCTTGTAGGGGATAGCACACAAATGCCAACACAGATGGATTCAAGACCCCTTTGGTGTGCTATCCCCTGATAGCTCTCTTAATTCTCAATATACTGATGCGTGATGTGGTCATTAATTACACGTAAGTCACAGGTTTTTTTTTACAAACTAAAACTACTGATGAGTCCTAATGGATGTGACTGTGTTCTCTTCGCAGGAATACAACACAGACGTGGCTGTAAACAGCCACAAGTGGGCTGAGAAGTGCTTATTTCAACACAGCACAGATGCTGACCGCATCTGGTTGAATGATAATATTAGTAAGTTTGCAGTTTTATCATTCTGTAGTGTTCGATTTCACTCAGACAACTTCTGTCTTTCTTCGAACACCGCTTTATTTACAACTCTCAGCATGTCGTCCACATTCCACAGTATCCTGGTCGCCACGGCTCGCTCACCGTGCTTCGCTCGACTCGCGCGCCACCTTTGTCTCTCCACTCCCCACGATTACTTTGCTTACTCCTTGTTAACTTATTTTCTCCGCTCTCTGCTATCACCGTCGCTATGCTCTCTCCACTGCTAACTGCTTCGTCTCTGTTCACCGCTATCACTGTCACTATGCTCACTCCACTGCTAATTGCTTCGTCTCTTTTCACCGCTATCACCGTCACTATGCTCACTCCACTGCTAACTGCTTCGTCTCTAACTCCGTCTCAGCAACTCCGCACACAGCGTCTTCGCACACAGCGACTTCGCACGCAGCGACTTTGCACTCAGCAACTCCACCCTTCAATTCTTCACTCCAACTCTCCCAAGCTCTCCAACTTCAACCCATCTCCAAGCTCAACTCCCTTCAACTCAACCCCCCTCTGTTGACTCCGACTCCCGCTCTTATACCCGCTCTCATTACACCCCCAATTAATTAACCCGCGTCCCAACGGCGCTCCGCGTGACCGTCGCGCCAGTTTCTCGCCAGACTTCCAGACGCCTCTCCAGCCCCGGCAACAGCACCAACCAATCTCAGCCGTCCACGGCTACCCCAGCTTAATTGCCCCAACATAACCTGCACTGTATTCGCCTTCACTACAGACTGACCCAAGATAACCCGTACTGTCTGTGTGATCATGTAATCACGCTGTTTGTGCTACGCACCTTCCTACTCCACTACAATTCTACTAACTTGCCATTAATTAATGAAATACTCCCTGAATAGATTATAACTCTTTGCATACCATTAGTTATCTAAGTGTATTTTTTTGCTGAAATTAATGTTCTGACATCCTGGTACAAGAACGACTCACAGGTCAGAGCTGACCAATCAGACTCTTATGACACAACACACACCTGTGCATGTGTGTGCACGTGAAAGTGTGTTCTGGAAAGAGCGAAGTGACCAACTGTCGTTAAAGTTTTTTTGTTAGCTCAGAGATCGGTGTGGAAAATCCAACATCACTATGGTGGGAACGAGTCTCTTCATCGTCCTTGTAATGGCGTGCGATCACAAAAAAATATATTATCATTGTCTTAGAACAACCACTGTGGAAATAAAACGTCTAATTTAATCGATCTTTGAGGGATGTGAGTGCAAAAATAATGCTATCACCACAGCAAAACCTCCTGAAACGGCTGAGATTGGTTGGTCTCAATCATCCGGGAGAAAGTCCCGAATTAATATCTTTAAAAATTATTTTACATCACTAAAGACAAATAAGACACCTCGTTATGGTATATTTACATTACTTTGGTAACACATATATTCATATCAACATGTGCTTGGTGGGAGCCATGATCTGTGTGCTGATTTTAAGTTAAATTTACTCTGCAGAGTGGAACTGCGGTGAGAACATTTTCCTGTCGGGGAATCCTCGCCCATGGGACTCTGTGGTGTTTAGCTGGTACAGCGAAGTCATTTCTCCAGGGTTTGAGTACGGGAAAGGTGCCAAGCAGCCAGGGGCCGTGGGACACTTCACTCAGGTTTGTAAAGATCACCCTCTGGGCGGGTTACATGGCCCAGTGCGTTGACCGCTTGTTGCACAGCTTCACGGTTGAACCCCCGGTGGCTGCCCTGGTTAATATTGTGGGTGCATTCACTGCAAAATACATCCCGTCCGCTCCACGGTGGACATTAAAGATCCCGTGACGTCATTAGGCATGAGTAGGCCATTGTGTGGCATAATGGTGACAATTTTTCAACTTCAAAAGTTACCCGCAAATTACTAATTTTGGATTCCACGTAGCAATCATCACCGCCTACTGACGGACTAATGTCGGTTTTCAAGCCAGGTGCTGAGTTATGTGCAGTTAGGTAGCATAGGTAATAACCTAACATTTACCTACAATTTCCTACAATTGCTCTTCTTTCAAGGACTGACCGTATTTGTCAGTGTGTTTAAATGGTAGTGGAAGTAAGACATTTTCAGAATGTGCTTTTCACGACTGCCAATACAATGTCTACAATAGTATTTCAAGTCTAGATTTGAAGCTTTTGTGACTGCAAGGATCCATACTCTTTGGTTCTATTCGGTAAAGTCACATAGGTAAAAAAGTTAAAACAACAAAAATCACGACGTTTTGGCCACAACACAAGCGGCCTTCATCAGGTGAAGGGACCAACCTGTCCAGCGGACAGCGTTGGAGTGAAGGAGACATAGAGGTACTTGACCAACCTGTCCGCTGGACAGGTTGGTCCCTTCACCTGATGAAGGCCGCTTGTGTTGTGGCCGAAACGTCGTGATTTTTGTTGTTTTAATTTTTTACCTACGTGACTTTACCGAATAGAACCAAAGAGTATAATATTTCAAGTTTCACTTAATGGAGTGATATGCAACCTCCATGAACTCTTGTAGATGTGTTTAAGATACATTCGTATGCAAAAGTACAATGTCTGTCCACTGTATCATGGGACTCCCTTGCCAGTATCAAAATATAAGAAGAGGTTTTGCCCTTTCTGGCAATAAAATAGATGTTAAAACACCAAACTGAAACCTTTTGCAAGGAATCATGTCTGCATTAACCAAATATGCCGTGGTGAACATGCAAAAAAACCATGCTCTGATAGTATATACATTGTCTTTGAAACCGATTGGTACACACCAGAGACAGCTTTCTTTAGAGCCAAGTCTCAAGTAGTGTTAGACCAGAGGACGCCGAAAGGCGAACAGCACAAAGACAATGCCACTATCAGGACATTGAGAGCTCAGGGTGAGCAGCTACATCATGGGACCTCCCATGGGACCTCCATGGTGTCGCCGTCTCTGATGTGGACCAATCAGTTTAAAAGACAATGCATGTACTATCAGAGCATTTGTTTTGCATGTTCACCACAAGTATATGTGGTTAATGCAGACATGATTCCTTGCAAAGGGTTCAGTCTGGTGTTTTAACATTTTAAAACCCGTTTTATTGCCAGAAAGGGTAACACCTTTTCTTATATCTATCCACTGTGTTCACTGTCTCCTGCAGCTGGTGTGGTATAAGTCTCATCAGGTTGGGTGTGCGATCAACTACTGCCCAAATATCCCTGGGGATCTCAAGTACCTCTATGTCTGCCAATATTGCCCAGCGTAAGTATGCTCAAGTCGTGGATTATGTTTATTTAGAATGTCAAATGTTATAGAGTAATGCTGGTAATGTACAACAACAGTTACCACTTAATTATATGTCTAGGAGAGAAAGGTAATGGTGCGCAAACGTAGTTGGTGTTGAAGGGAAACAATAAAATAATAAAATATATATAAAACAATAAAAAAATTCTCACGACGTTTCGACCATAACACAAACGGTCGTCATCAGGTGTGAAAAAACCAACGGCAAGAAACATTTGAAAGAAGTGTCGATTCGCATTAATTAATGATTTTTTTTTACGGCGCATTTACTTATTTATAAAAAAAAACGTCAGCGCCACGCGCAGGGATTTGGCAGTTTATTTAGAAGGACGAGTCCATCTGTGTTCTGAAAAAGAGGAGGGGGAGACGAAAAATTAATGTATGCTGTCTGAAAGCCACCGTAAGCGTGAACAATCAATTAAGACCTGAAATGGTTTATCAAATCCTTCCATTGATTTCTAAGCCAGAATCCATCTTCTCGGTTGAAATTGTCTCTGTGCTTGTATATGTGGATAGCCTCATGAACGAATCTCTCATGGTAGCCAGATGGCTTACAAAGAAACTCTGTCTTGGAAAAGTCAATGTCATGTGAGCCTACTGAATTATAACAATGATCTGCCACGGCCGAGGTGTTGGTCCTACCGTGTTTAAGGTCTGCTTTGTGTTCACGAATGCGGTCCGAGACATGGCGTTTGGTTTCTCCAATGTAACTACTACCACAGAGGCAACTTAGTTTGTAGACACCAGGGTACTGTATGTCCGGAATCACATCTTTTACAGACGGAACCAGATCACGGATTTTATGTAATGTGTTGAAACGGACCTGGATCTTGTGTTTATTCAAGATTTTGGAGATCTTTTTGTGATCCCCGCAATGTAGGGTAAAGTGATGGTTTTGAAAGGCTCCTCAAGAGGGTAATTCTTCATGGTTTGAGTGATAGCTTTGCGGATTGTATAGTCGGAGTAACCATTAGCCTTAAGAGCTTGGTGTACGTGCTTGAGTTCACTGCCTATGTGTTCCTGGTCGGATATGCATTGGGCTCTATGGTACAGAGTCTTGATGAGATAATTCTTCTGTGATGGATGGTGGTGGGAATCCGGTTTCAGATAAGCATCCGTATGGGTAGCTTTCCTGTAGACAGAGTGGCTCATTGAACCATCAGGTCTCTTTTTTATTAGGACATCCAAAAACGGTAGCTTGCCATCTTTTTCGACTTCCATGGTAAATCTGAAGGCTGGGTGTATGGAATTGATGTGGTTGAGGAATTGGTTCAGAGCAGGCCGGCCATGTGGCCAGATGACAAAAGTGTCATATATTTTATTATTTTATTGTTTCCCTTCAACGTGACTTTACCTAAAGAAATAAGAATATGAATTACTGCAGTCACGAAAACTTTAAATCAAAATGTAGTTGGTGTTCTTCAGATGATTATCTGAATTGCAGTGCATTACATGAGCACTAGCATGTATCCTTATTTTGTCACTGTTGAGCGTATGTAATTGGAATCAGAGCTTCATTGGCTGATTCCAGCCGTGGCCACGATGGGACAAAATCCCCTCGCCCAGCTCCCAATTATGGTTCGCATTGTATGGAATAAATACTGTGTTTCCCCCCCTTATACAGGCGTGGATAGCACTCCAGCCAATTTATGCAATGCCCTGCCGACAAAATACGTATTGTTTCATGAACAAGCCCTTGCATGTTTCTGTTCTTTTCTACAGTGGAAACGATAACTCCAGGTTGAACTATCCATATGACTTAGGGAAGCCATGTGAAGCTTGTCCTGACAGTTGTGTAAACAACTTGTGCAGTAAGTTACCCCAACACCTTTTCATGCAGCATGATAAATCAAGGTCAAGAAACAATCCTGTAGATAACACCACATGTAACCATTTATTTTAGCTGTATTGCAAAATTATATCAAAGTTGACAACCTGGTGTAACATCCTCCAAGTTCTCACTCCAGTGCTCATCTCAAGAAATATCCACTGTTCATTCTACACGTGTTCCACCAATCACAAGTTCATCTTCCTGATTAAATCCACAATGTTTTCTTCTTATGTTCTATCAAATGTGGTAGCACTGTCTTGCTATAAAACTACATGCACCCTCTCTATATAAAACCTAATCTTATTTAATATCTTACGTGTTAAAATCTGTAAATTTTTCATGAACATTGACCTCTATTCTCAGAACTATTTAATATAGTCCATCAAGACCTCTGCTGCTATCAACCTCCATCCCATGCTTCAACGTATTATACACATTATCTATATAAGAAAGTCCTTTACTACCTTCACACCTTCACTGCCTACTGACATCTGTTATAAAGCTGTATGAGCCTCATTTTTACATGCTGCCAGTAAGTATATTTTTTATAAGGCATACCGTAAGGCCTAATTGTTTGCCTTTTGAGCCCAGAGCGACACTGGGGTATTGCGAGGCAATCTAGAAATTTGTGTTCCTGCTGTGCTCAGCAATGGTCGACAGAAACGTGGACCATGAATTCAGCAAGTCTTAGCTGCGTTTAGTTGATATCTACTCTTATATAATATACTTATAGAGCGCCTCAGTCAAGGCGCTTGACATAGCTTAATAAACGCTGACAGAATATAACTATTTAGATGGCAGGGGCGTGCAAGGATTGAGGAATAAGTGACCACGATAGGGGGAACATAGGGGTCACAACAGGGTAGGGGAGGGACGGGAACGAGTGGGGGGGGCGAGGGGAGAATGGGCAAAAGAGAACAGGTGAGCAATTAAACTTTATTGCGTCTTCCATTGCACTGATTAAAGGGGCAGTGACAGCTTTTGCTATGCTGTTAAATTGTACAATTACAGTGATTACATGCATGCTGTATTTTGTTTGGGCACGTACAAGATTCAGTGGTAAAATAAAACGTCTGCCATTTTTACTTTCTTTTTCGTTTCTTTTTAATTCACAGCAAATCCATGCCTCTACAAAGACAGATTCAGCAATTGTGAAGCAATGGCCGGACGTTATGGATGTAAGAATGATGCCTATGGAAAGGTGATACAGCTAATGTGTCCTGCACAGTGTCTTTGCCTGAAACAAGTCATATAACCTCAAACCAACCTCGATACCATACACCAGCAGCAACAACCACACAGATACTCTGAGTATAAATAATAGAGTGAGAAACAGAAAAAAACAAGGGGAAAGTTTTCTGTAATTTTCTCGAACAAAAAAGTTACCGGTTTTTTTGCTTCGACTTCTACTTTGCAAATTGATTTTATGTAGCAACAATACCATATGTACTTGCAGTTCATGTAGTGAGCTAAAGATTAACAATACTATTTTAGCAAAATGGTGTAGAGGAATTTATAGAAATGAAAATTTGTTGATATGCCTGATTGCAAGATATTTGTGGAAGTAGTTGACACGAAGAAAAGCTGAACAATATAAAAGCAATTAACAAAAAAAACTTGTTGTGTGTGTTCGTTTTGTTAATTTAAAGTGTCAATATATTTCGATTTAAAGCTTTTGTGACTGCAAGGATTCATCTTCTTTGGTTCTTTCGGTAAAGTCACGTAGAATGAGAATAAAATAATAAATTGATCAAATAAAATGACACAATAATATTCTCACGACGTTTCGGCCACAACACAAGCGGCCTTCATCAGGTGAAGGGACGAGACTGTCTGGAGGACAGCGCTGGAGTGAAAAAGATACGCTCAGATCACGACCTTTAAGCTGTGTGAGAAGAAACAAAGCGCCTTGACAAAGGAATTAGCATATAATTTAGCATTGAAATGGCTGAGTGATTAGCTTGTGACTGGTCACAGAAATGGCTATGTTAAAGTTAAAGCATACACATCCGCAAAGGCACCCCTTGACAAAGGAATTAGCATAGAATTTAGCATTGAAATAGCTAAGTTAAAGTATACACATCCGCAGAGGCACCCCTTGACAAAGGAATTAGCATAGAATTTAGCATTGAAATAGCTGAGTGATTAGCTTGTAACTGGTCACAGAAATAGCTATGTTAAAGTCAGAGCATATACATTCACCGAGGCACCTAGTACAAATCAAACAGGAGAATTTAGCATTGAAATAACTAGGCGAATTTAGCATTGAAATAACTGAGTGATTAACTTGTGACTGGTCACAGAAATGGCCTTGTTGAAGTTAAGGCCTACACATCTGAGCTATTCACAGTAACTGGGTATACAATACAATATATAATGAATACTATATAGTGAACCAATAAAAAATACTAAAATATAAATTACCTCAATGTTATCAATAAACTCTATATTCTCCAATCAGCTAAGCTACCAACAATAAGTCGTTATATATCACAATGCTATATGGCGAAAAATGGGTGGATTCTTACCCTCAACTTTAGCAACACGGATAGCTACGGGTCCCGTTCAGACGGACGAGTTCATCCATGGTCGGAACAGAGGAGGGGGAGAGAGACAGCTGCGAGGCGCTGTTATACTCCATGTTGTAAACCATACCATTAACCGTGGTGTGAGAGTTATTAAGAGTCAATGTCAGCGAAAGAGCTGCGGACTGAAGGTCATCGTAAAATACAATTAATCAAGAACGGAAATGGTTTAAAACATATTTCCAATGGTTACTAAGCCAGAATCCATCTTCTCGATTGAAATTGTCTCTGTGCTTGTATATGTGAATGGCCTCATGAACGAATCTCTCATGGTAGCCGGTTGGTTTGCAAAGAACCTCCGTCTTGGAGAAGTCAATGTCATGTGAGCCCACTTAATTATAACAGTGATCTGCCACGGCAGAGGAGTTCATCCTACCGTGTTTCAAGTCTGCTTTATGTTCGCGGATGCGGTCCGAGATATGTCGTTTGGTTTCTCCAATGTAGCTACTACCACAGAGGCACTTTAGTTTGTAAACGCCCGGGTACTGTATGTCTGGAACAGCATCTTTTACAGATGGAACTAGATCACGGATTTTATGTACTGTGTTGAATCGGACCTGGATCTTGTGTTTATTCAGGATTTTGGAGATCTTTTAGTGACCCCTGCAATGTAGGGTAAGGTGATGGTTTTGAGTGGCTCCACAAGAGGATCCTTCTTCATGACTGGAGTGATGGCTTTGCGGATTGTGTAGTCGGAGTAACCATTAGCCCTGAGAGCCTGGTGTACGTGCTTGAGTTCACTGGCAATGTGTTCCTGGTCGGAAATGCATTGGGCTCTATGGTATAGAGTCTTGATGAGGGAGTTCTTCTGGGATGGATGGTGGTGGGAATCCGGTTTCAAGTAAGCATCTGTATGGGTAGCTTTCCTGTAGACAGAGTGGCTCATTGAACCATCATGTCTCCTTTTAATTAAGACATCCAAAAAGGGTAGTTTGCCATATTTCTCGACCTCCATGGTAAATCTGATGGCTGGGTGTATGGAATTGATGTGGTCGCGGAATTGGTCTAGAGCAGGCTGGCCATGTGGCCAGATGACAAAGGTGTCATCCACGTACCTCTTCCATAAGGTCTGGCGTAGAGTGGCAGTCTGGATGGCGTCAGTTTCAAATTTTTCCATGAATACGTTGGCTACAACTGGAGATAGGGGGAGCCCATTGGGGTGCCCTCAGTTTGTTTGTAGAAAGTTCCATTCCAGGTGAAGTATGTGTTGGTTAAGCAATGTCTCACCAGGGGGGGGTACATCAGTGTGCAGTCCTTGATGAACCAGGTCTTCAATGATAGCGATGGTGTCAGGTACCGGGACTTTGGTGAACAAGGACACCACATCAAAACTGACAAGCAGGTCGTCTGGGGACAGGGAAATGCCTTTGATTGTCGATACCAGGTGAGTAGAATTTAGTACCGCAGAGGTGGTTTTTCCAGTGAAAGATCGCAGTATATCAGAAAGAAAACGTGCCAGTTTATAGGTGGGGGAGTTGATAGTAGAGACGATGGGACGAAGGGGTGTATCTTCTTTGTGTATCTTTGGAAGGCCATATAATCTTGGTGGTCTGGCAGCAGAGGGTTTCAGCGAGAACTGTTTGGTCTCATCAATTAATGCTGTTGAATCAGAGATGATTTTGTTCGTTTTGGTAACCAGGCAGTTAGTGGGATCTCTTTTTATTTTTGTATAGCTGCCATCGTTGAGTAGTTCTTGAATTTTGTTGTTATATTCTGTTTTGTCCATGATGACAGTGGCATTGCCCTTGTCGGCTGAGAGGACGACAATATCATCTCTCTTTTTTAATTGAGATAATTCAAAACGTTCTTCTTTACTGATGTTACTGGGTGGCAACTTAGCGTTTTTGAGGGTTGCAGTGATTTCAGATCTTGCTACATCTGCAGCGATGGGACTCAAGCCCTTGAGTGCAACGTCGACATGGGCAATGATATCATTAACCGGTAAGTGTCTCGGTGTGACAGCAAAGTTTAGACCTTTAGCTAAAACGGATTTCAGACCATCAGAAATGGAACTGTTACTGCGATTAATTACGACTTTGTTGACGTCTATCTTTTTGGTGTGTGGATCCGATTTTTTGCTGGAGAGGTGATTGAATTTGGAAATCAAATTGACCCTACATTTGGTCGACATAGTGGCAGCCGAAGAGGTAGTCATATTGTCTACATGTTCCCAATCCGATGTAGACATTGTTGCTGTCAATGTTAAGTGTGATTTGTAGAGTGTCTTGTCTAACTGATCGAGTTCAGTGCGCATAAGTCTGATTTTTTCCGAGATAAGAGCGAAGCTAGTTCTAGCTAGAATTCATTTTGCATTGAGAGAAGTTGCATCAGCAGAGGTTAGTGTAAATGCGGTTGGTATTACCTTAGAGTCGCGGCATCTCTTCAGAAAGGTGAGAGACTCGATTAGTTGAGCCTTCTTATCCCGGAGTCTGTTGAATGATCTTAAGGTGGTGTGGAATCCCTCTTTGTAGAGCCGGTTAAATTTTGATTTAAAGCTTTCGTGACTGCAAGGATTCATATTCTTTGGTTCTTTCGGTAAAGTCACGTAGAATGAGAATAAAATAATAAATTGATCAAATAAAATAACACAATAATATTCTCACGACGTTTCGGCCACAACACAAGCGGCCTTCATCAGGTGAAGGGGACGAGACTGTCTGGAGGACAGCGCTGGAGTGAGAAAGCCACGCTGAGATCACGACCTTTAAGCTGTGTGAGAAGAAACAAAGCGCCTTGACAAAGGAATTAGCATATAATTTAGCATTGAAATGGCTGAGTGATTAGCTTGTGACTGGTCACAGAAAAGGCTATGTTAAAGTTAAAGCATACACATCCGCAAAGGCACCCCTTGACAAAGGAATTAGCATAGAATTTAGCATTGAAATAGCTTAGTTAAAGTATACACATCCGCAGAGGCACTCCTTGACAAAGGAATTAGCATAGAATTTAGCATTGAAATAGCTGAGTGATTAGCTTGTAACTGGTCACAGAAATAGCTATGTTAAAGTCAGAGCATATACATTCACCGAGGCAACTAGTACAAATCAAACAGGAGAATTTAGCATTGAAATAACTAGGCGAATTTAGCATTGAAATAACTGAGTGATTAACTTGTGACTGGTCACAGAAATGGCCTTGTTGAAGTTAAGGCCTACACATCTGAGCTATTCACAGTAACTGGGTATACAATACAATATATAATGAATACTATATAGTGAACCAATAAAAAATACTAAAATATAAATTACCTCAATGTTATCAATAAACTCTATATTCTCCAATCAGCTAAGCTACCAACAATAAGTCGTTATATATCACAATGCTATATGGCGAAAAATGGGTGGATTCTTACCCTAGAGGAGCACTGTTTGTGTGTGCCGGCCTGAAGAGAAGGTCGAGTAAGGTCATGACAGCCTGGGTGACCCTAGAGGACACGTTACCGGACGGGATGACAGAGGGGCCCCCGAGAAGGGGGTGCGAGGGTCATATGATGAGGATCGAGGTTCCTCGGGAGGGTTCTGGAAAGGGGGCGTGGCCAGTAAATATAAGCCGAGTCCCAGAAGGGATCGGGCTTGTCCATCCCGGGGAAGAAACCCTTCGTCCACGTTCTTCGATCTTTGGGCTAGCGGACCAGGCGGTGTGTTGGTTGTCCTGGTCCGAGTTTGTTAGTTACCTTGTAACCTGTGTAGCTAGCCAGGGTGGTCACCAGCCTAGGTTGTTGTCTCGTTAAGGGGTAGAGTTACTCCGTTGTGTTATTTAATAAATGTGCTGCCTCCAAGTTTAAGTGTACGACTCAGTTGAACCCACTACACACGGACAAGAGATACGGATTTTAAAGATGAAATTCAGCATCATCATTTATCATCAGCATCCTCATCATTTTTTAATTGGGAACAAATTAATTCATCGTTAAAACACCCAGCGAGAATCTCAGGACGATGAAGAAGGATGTCACTTTTTCTTAATAATCATTTAAATGACAAAACATTAATCAGCACATGAAGCTAACCAGATGTATAGTTTCAGTGT